TACAAATCTTGTAAGTATACTATCGGTCAAAAAATAAATAAAAATTAAAATACATATCTAAGGATGACTATATATACCCTAAACCAGCAATAGAATACAATAAAATGAAACATAAAAAAAAAAAAAAAAAACGCTTGATGCATCCATGTATGGTACTACTGTGAAGTCGTAACTTGTTTGTAGAAAAAAAATGTAACTAAATTATCCAAAAAAGATTCGGAGTGATTATGGTGTCAAGAAATAGTGCGATAAAATTATACTGTCAACATAAAACATTGTAATTTCAAGCTAAAAGACTTCTATTTCTGTTGGGCCAGTCTTCCGCGGTCTGTCATATCCCAGGAATCTGGTTGGTTTGTAATAAAAGTGTAGGAGTTCTTTTGTAGTAATGAGATCCTGGTCAAACTATATAATGTCTGAGTCAGACTTGTAAACGTCACCAATAATCAGAATATTCATTTTTCCAGATTGTAAATTCTCTTTCTTCTTCGTTCTTCTCTCACTTTCCCCTTTCCCTGAACCCTAAAATCTTCTTCTGATTCTCTTTTCTTCCCTAATCCTTACTTAATTGCTAATTCTGATCCTTGTTCATGACACGGTCAGACTCAATGAAAAATTGAGCCGCATCAGAGTGAGACAGTTGGCTGCAAAAGAGGCTTTAGGGTAACGAGAGTCTAATTGACGGAGGAGAGCCTAATTGGTCTTATAAAAGGATTGTGAACCGACTAGAATTGTGAAAACTATTTAAAGAAATCGATGGTAGGAGAAAGGACACAATGAAATCAGTATCATATTACTTATTTTTAATTTCTGTTATTTTTCTTTTTGAAATATTCTCTAATATTAGGGTTCGTCGAGAACTCCTTGTATTAGGCCAATCAACGGAGGCCGCACTTGTTATTCAAACATTACAATAGAGTCTGGCTTATAGCACATTTTAAGTTCCAAATTCCATATTTTAATGGAAATTTAGCACAGATAGGAAGAACAATGCACAATCATTTGAGATATTTTGCATAAATCTTCTAGGGTAAAAATTGTGCAAACATATTTTTGGAATGCCCGGTGAGACTCATATACCTACGGGTGCTGAATAACCAGTATAAGTACCGCTGCTTCAACAGAAAAAGTACCCCCTGTACCGTCACAACCCCCGGTGAGTGCGGTCATGATGGCGCAAACCTTGAGTGGTTTAACTATAGAGAACTCACCAAATGGAACAGGTACCAGTGAAAGTCCATTTACCAAAGAATTGATGAGCACGATGGTGATATTGATTGAACAGGTAAATGCAATGGAAACGGAGCTCAACACCATAAAAGCACCATCACAATGGTCGGTTACACCGATTTCTCAGGACAAGAGAAACAGGTTAGTAAGATACGAGAGAATTTCAGTATCAACCCGTTACACTTCCTGGGGCATGATACGCCTGGGTTGTTACATATACAGCAGGGACATCTTCATAGCAGCCAGACGAATCAGCAAACTCGGAACAGATTCCCCGAAGTTGGTACGAAAAGATTGTGCCTAGCCAGCCAGCTTTATTCCACCATACGGAAACTTTACCTTTGATGTACGTCGGCCACGTCGATTTCCAATCATTACCAACCCTATTTATGGGCATTGGTTGTTCAAGGCCTTAATGTACCCGATCAATCAAAAACCGGAGAGGCCAATCAGCGGATGTATAAGGAAGAAACGGTTTGGATACAAGATCGTGCACCTGATGGTAGTTATGGTCCGATGGTGTCGTGCACAATATACAAGGGGGCTATTCCTCCGGCGGCTTTTCAAAAAAAAAAACTACTGCTCCAACAACCGAATCAGCAGCAGTTAGTCAGCAGCCGCAGCAAACGAGTGAGCAACAATTGTTGGCACTCTTGGAGGGATCTTCGATGCCGCCTCACCCCACGAGAGAATAGGTACTAGAGAATAGGTTGTGGACCAATTTCGAACATGAACAAAACAGGAATCGGAATTGCTAAAGCAGCCGCGACAGCTCCTAATACGGCCAAAAATAACAATGCTCCTAGGTTGACGCCTCAAGGCGGGAGGGGGGGGGGGGAAGGGGGCGACAGGGAATAATGCGCAATACGTCACAATGACAAATTAGTAGGGGCGGCTTCAATATTTTCAGGTGCTACAGCTTCCTAATCGCCGCTTGCAGTTGATTCCAGTATTCAAATTCTGTAAAAATTCCATCTCTTGATTTTCAGATTCTTCTCTATCCTCTCAACTTCCTTCTCAACTGCTTCCCCGTTCTTTCTTCTTTCCTCTGAACTTCGATTCCGGTTGCCGGTTCTTGCCATTTTCTGGTGACCCAATCTTTCCTTTATTTCCTTAAAAAGGCCTACTCTGACAAACTCATGGATTGGACCTTTTTTGTCTTTCTTTTTTAATTCATATTTCATAAATTTGTTCAAAAATAAATTAATTTATTCCAAAATAATTTAGCAGTTAAACTTACATTTTCACAAAAAAAAAATTTAATTTCTTGTGCTATAATCTTTTTAATTTATTTCAATATTTTCACCATTCACAACTATATATATATTCTCATATGAAGAATAACTAATTTTTTTCCATGAGAAATTTTCTTTCTCGTGGTCGGCATCTATTTAACTATATCACATTTCTTTATTAAAAGGAATTACTCCAATTCAAATTCATACACGATAGATGTTTGCTTCCCCCGATTGTTTGTGGAAAAGTTCATCAACAAATAAAAATATAAATGCAAAATAAAGTTAAAAATTTTAATTAAAAAAAGAAAGAAAGAAAGAAAATAACCTCGTTGATATTGTTCTAGCATTCGATTCTTTAATTGTAATTTACCCCAAGGAACCAAAGAAAAATATTTTTTCATATATGCACATAGCCGTTCTCAAAATCACATTGTGTTGGGGATTTATCCAGAGCAGAAAAAAAGACATGTAGCCCAATAAGTAAGATAAGATCCATCTGAACTCAAAAACTCAAGTTAATGGGTTCTGAGTCCACCTTACTTATTAACTGATTCACACGTCATCATGCCTCCGATGTGCGATTCAAAATTTTTACCACATGACCCTCAACATTCTCCTCCGTCATGGGCAATCTCCACATCGGGCTTCCAAATTATCTTAACAAGCCCGAATCTGTTCTCCACCTAAGTAACTGGGCTGCCCATCCCTACATTTCCGCTCGTACTAGGCCTTTGACTGCTTGGGTTCAGTCAGATCAACTAAGATAATTTGGACTAAATCACCCACCCAATTGGTCCAACTTGGACTCTGATACCACTGTTGAGGATTTATCCGGAGGAGAAAACCCGACATGTAGTCCAATAAGTAAGATAAGACCCATATGAACTCAAAAGTTCAAGCTAATAGGTTCTGAGTCCACCTTACTTATTAATTGATTCACATGCCATAATGACTCCGATGTGAGATCCACAATTTTTGCCACATGACCCTCAACATCCTTCCTTAGCCCAACACTCCTCAAGCCCAATACATAAGCCCAAATAAGGTTCCACTCTAAAACCAATTGGTAATAGAAGGAGTAACCCACCAGACTTATATATTGAGCCTGGAACTCTTCCGCCACCAATGTGGGATTGGATTTGACACCCAATAAACCTCCCCTCAAACACAAAACCACACTTGGGCCTCTACTTCAATGACATTCTAACTTGTACCGCCGCTATCACCCACGGAACACGCCGCCTAACCCACCATTAATTGTCAGGAAGACTTTCAACACAATGCCCACAATTAGGTACCGACTCCACTCCTCGAGCCTACGAGTCGTTGCAAGGTCAAACTGGGAGAACATGCCACGCTATCCGCATATCCATTGGCTAGAACCGTGGCTCTGATACCACTTATTAGGATCCTCCTTCCCTATCTCAACACTCTTCAAGCCCAATACGTAAGTCCAAATGAGCTTTCGCTCTAAAATCAATTGGTAATAAAAGGAGTAACCCACCAGATTTATATATTGAGATTGGAACTCTTCCGCCATCAATATGGGATTGGGTTTGACACCCAATACATTGTATAGTAGTATATAACTACATAGGGGTTAACTATAAATTTCAATGACGTTGCACACATTCTCTCCATTCATTTTGCAAAATTAAAAGTTCCTATTGAAGTATCACACATGTATGTGTCGATGTGTGTTTGGTTTTTTTTTTTTTTTTGTACAAAATTAATTAAAATAAGAGAAAAAAGGGAAAAGAAACTTGTCGCATCGTTTACATTTTTAATTACCCCGTTCCTATACGCTGAACTTGTTAAAGTAAGATTGTGTTTTCGGGATAGAGAGAAAATACAGTTAGGAATTAATCACCAGTTAAGCCAAGATGACTTCGGCCTCAAACATGGAGATTTGGGTAAGAGCTTTTTGAACGTTAAAACGAGAACGAATCTATCGGCCTACTGGGAACCATATAAGATACAGTTGTATGATTAATTTGCAATCATAATTCGTGTACCATTTCTACAGGTTGAGTTGTAGACGCTTGTAGTCTCGCTACTGTCAGCAAAAATGACCACACAATAGTAGGAACTGGATAATCAATGACACCAAAAGGTAATGCGTTCTTTTCAAACTCTGTATTAATTATTCTTTCAATCAATACGTTTCAATTCTTTTTTTTACCTCTATCCGTGGCTAATAGTGACTAATTCTTTAATTTAACTATATAATAAACCTTTAAATGGAGGAACAACTGACCAATATAGTTGTTTATCATCATATAATTCATCTCTTCAGGTTTTCATTGTATATGTCCCATATATAACCGCAAATTTTAATACAGATAGTTTTATAGATTATAATTATTTTTATTTTGCCAAAATACATGCAATAGATATCCTTGTTTAAGAAAATGGAGATTATGAGAGTCACATCGGAACTTCAAATCAAAGTAGTTAACAATCAATATTAATTGGTCTATCAATAATTTTAGAGATAGAACCGACAAAATAATGAGTATAATTCACCTTCTAACCACCGCCTTTAAAATCACAAGGAAAAATCACATTCTATATAGTATAGTGTATAGTACTCAATTCCTCAAATTTATACATATATGGTATCACTATATATGTTGTGTTAAGCATTACTAAACATTGTCTTAACCTTGAAAAAAAGGCCTGCCCGTGGCATCTTCGTTCTTTTGTAGTGTAAAACTACTTAAAAAAAAAAAAAATGGCTGACCGGAAAAGTTATGAAGAGGAGGAGTTGCAAGAACCGGTGAGCCCAACCGGACAGTATTTCAGCAGCTCGGTGATGTCGGTGGCGGTGATCGGTGTTCTTGAGTCTGAAATCCCAATTGAAGAAGATGACTCTTTACAAGTGAAATTGCTTCAGGAAGTTTTCTTGCCTATCAATCCACGTTTTTCTTCCATCATGGTATATTATATGTGCTTCCAATTCATCACTGTCTCAAATTACTCTTTTTCATCTCAAATGCTTATTAGGTTCCTTTGATTTTAAACCGAGAGAAATTATTCATTAATCTCATCCATCTCAATAAGTCATAAATCGATTCGGGAAATGCCATTCTGGTGTCCCTCACGAAATTGACCGTAACGTTCTTAGTACTCCACTTAATAATTAGATGTTCTACAATTAAATTTTCTCATGTGGGATTGCATTGGAGTACTTGTTGCGAATATAATGTTGTAGTTGTCCATATATATATATATATATATATATATATATATATATGACTTTGGTCAATACGTTGAAATATTTTCGGAGAGAAACATTGTTTTGAGGTACTTTATCACATATTCAAAATTACACAAGTCGAATAAATAATAGATGTGTATCTGTGTAATTTATTGTTTTATCTCATAACTATTTATGTTATATCTAGCTAATTACTAACGAAAATTAAGTTAACTAATAAAAAAAAATTAAATTACTTGCAGGTCAAGGATGAAAAGGGAGTGAAACATTGGAAAAAAGTGGAAGTGATCCCCAAAAACCACATTCATGTGCCTGTATTTCCAGAGGGGAAATCAATAGAATTCTATGATGAATGCTTCAATGACTACTTATCAAACATGGCGTTACAACCATTCCCACAAAATCAACCATTGTGGGAAATTCACATAATCAAGTACCCTACCAAAAATGCAGCCGGAAATCTTGTTTTCAAGCTTCATCATGGACTTGGTGATGGTTATTCACTCATGGGAGCCCTTCTTTCTTGTTTGCAAAGGGCTGATGACCCTTCACTCCCCATCAAATTTCCTGAATTTCAATTGGACAATCAAAATGGGAAGAATGGTGGAGATAGCATATTTAAAAAAGTACCTCAAATCATTTCCGGGATTGGGAATACGGTATCTGACTTCGTATGGGGGATGTTGAAGAGCACCATAATTGAAGATGACAAAACACCAATTAGGTCGGCTGAAGAATGGGTGGAATTTAAACCCATGACCATAACAACAATGACGTTTTCTATTGATGAAATCAAGCAAATGAAGGCCAATCTCAACGTGGTAAGAGTTGCTAACTATCCGCTAATCTCACTTTCTTTCTCCTTTAATTAAAGACATATCTATAGATTCAAATCAAAAGCGATGCACATTATACCGTGAGATGATTATTTAATTTATTGGAAAATTTGTAACACCTATCGCTTATATCATAATAAATATCGCATAAAATAACTTTTTTTTTTTGCGATATCTTGTGCATAACAACATGTAGTTTGGAGAAGCTATCCAGTCACTTTTCTAATTTTCTCTGAAACATTTTGAAAATGATGAACAAAATGAACATTTGCTTAAGCTTAAGTATCTTCATTTTCATAAGAAAGTTTTAATGAAGTAATTTTGCCTAACTTTCTCCCCCTAAACAGTCGGTAAATGATGTAATATGTGGGGTTATATTTCTTGGGACTCGGCTGTACATGAAAGAAATGGACCCTGAAAAAACCAACGCATCTTCTTCGGCCTTGGTTTTATTGAGCACAAGAGCCATCAGAGGGTACAAGACGGTGAAGGATATGGTGGAGCCAAGCTCCAAGACTCCATGGGGGAACCATTTTGCCTTCATGCATGTTTCCCTACCAAAGTTGACCAAACAAGAGGCTTCTAACCCGCTGAGTTTTGTCCTCGAAGCCCAAAAGATCATCAAGTCCAAAAGGAACTCCGCTGGGGTGCTTCTCACTGGCAAATTGCTCGATGCTTTGCGAAAATATAGTGGACCTGAGGTACATACCTTTACAATTGTACTTTGTGTTCGTGTGTTACTATGATTAGTCTTGTAATAAACTCTATCAAACACACAGTATAATTTGAGCTAAGATATCTTACTATTGCCATTTTAATTAATCTTCAATAGTCTGTCTATTCACTTCTGACCCCAGTCGTAAAATTTTTCAAAAAATGGTATTTGGAAGGTTATTAAGGGCTTTTTTTTTATTTGGCATAATTATTATTGCTTGGGCCGGTACCTATAGGAATTAGGTTTGGTTAGTTAAAAAGAGAAACATAAATGTTTGAGTTGAGGCAGCTAATAAAAAATGATTGATGATTTTTTATTTTTTTTATTTTGCCCACACAGGTGACAGCGAAATTTATTAAGAAGACGCTAACCAATTCCAGCATGACAGTGTCGAATGTATTTGGACCAGTGGATCAACTGGCTTTAGCTAATCATCCAGCTAAAGGCATTTACTTCATGATGGCTGGCTCCCCACAGGTACGTTATACGTATACTCGATCCATATCACACAAACAAAACGGATAAAATCAAAAAAAAAAAAAAGAAGAAAAAAAAATACAATTCTTTAATTGATATTCTTTCAGTTGGAAAAGGATTCATTACTTTTCACAAACATATATACCATGCCTTTTTTTATCTCCATAAAATAGAGTTTACACAACAAAGATAAAATACAATGTATTTAGAATAGTTTTTGGTCGCAGAAATGTATAACTCCCTCCGGTCATAATAATTTTTTTTTAAAGTAAAAATGTAAACTTGTACGTATTGCTCTTCACCAAAATTGTTACTCCCCCCGTCCTATAATTATTGTCCAGTTTTACTGAAATAAAAAATTTTATTTTTAGTCAAAATTAACTATATTTTACCTTGAACAACCGGATATACCCCTACATAAGTAATTGTTTAACCACAAAGATTTTATGGATAATGTTTTTTACTAAGGACAAATGTGTAACTTGATTCATAAAAAGTCAAATTAGACAATAATTTTGGGACAAAATTTTTTAGACAAAGTGGACAATAATTATGGGATGGAGGGAGCACATATTTACATCATATGTAGAGGACATTCACGTAGCTACCAAATCCTTAACTCAAAAACATCATAGCCTTAACTACCACATTTTGCATCTATCAACTATGACATAATATTCAGCTTTTCTAAAACTGATTGATTTATATTGCCCTTCAATTGAAAATGCTTTTATCACTGGGGCAGAATCTAACAATAACAATGGTGAGTTACATGAGAAAGCTGAGGGTGGCAATTGGGGTGGAAAAAGGGTTGATTGATGCTTCCAAATTCAAGTCATCAATTGAGGAGGCCTACACTGCAATTCGGAACGCGGCGGCGGTGGGTTCCAGTCCAGTCAATTAAATTGAATATATACTTTTCCACCACCAAATTAGTTATTCTGGCATTTACTCCATTACCCTCATTTACACATGCTTTGATTTTAATTTCCGGCCACGGGTTATATATACATATATATATATATATATGTATATTAAATAATAATACTTTAAAACTGTATGTACCCAATCTGATTCTCTCTTATTCAAAATGTCTCGAAAAAAGGTGTTTCTTGTGTATTTGTGTTGCTAAAGTACTAATAATACTCCTTTGATATGAACAAAAATGGCAATACAATTTTCTTTTCTTTTTTTCTTTTTTTTTTTTAAAATAACCTAAACTAGAAAATGGAAATACTTGAATAATCTTGTTGCAAACGTCAATCTAGACTAGAAAAATTTGACCTCCCTTGGTAATTAAGAAAGAATATATATCTCTATTTATAGATATCAAAAGTTAGGGTTTAGATGGTTAAATCGTACTATTATAGACCAATGATAGAGGGAGTGAAAAAAAATATAATGAAAACAAATATTGACTTATGTATACTAATTAATTAACAGTAAAAGTATAATTTTAGAGAAAAAAAATAAAATTTTAACGAGAAAATGATAATAAAATAGGGAATTATAACGCTTCACATCTGTCGTTATTCTTTTAACTAAGCATATCATTTTTCATTATTATATTACTTACAAATCAATTACTTACAAATCAATTACAACTTATTTATTGTGATGACTTATTTCTCATTCTAATCCGATAACACCAAAATTCATTCGGTCGTGGACCCGTGGTAGAAGATTCAACTCATATATATGGTACCTAGAATTGCTATTCACGAGCAAAACTTTATATGAATTCTAACTATCGAGATCAAAAAATTCTTGTCCATCATGCTTGTTTGCCTTATACTAAAATTATATTTGTTTGACAAATTCCTGACAAAATCAAAATCTTCTCCTGCACAACTTTTGTTCGTCTATGTAAATGCCTGAACCACATGTGTTTATTTTGATTTTCAAAATGGGGCTTGATTTTTTTGGCCCCCAGACGACATGGATATAGCATAGCTGCCAGCATTTGTTTGCGAAGTTAATTGTTTATTGCAATTTTTCAGATGGACAGACATGGCAGTAGCCATAATAATGGCTCAAATAAAACAAAACTTCTATAAATAAAGCATGTCAGCTACGTACGTTTAAAATTTTCAGGGTAAATTAATTGATGTAGTTCAGTAAGCTTAATAAAATTAATGTTACTGACTATTGTAAGAAATGTTTTATTATGGGGCCATTATCATCTTTCGTATCGATTAAACATAGTTGTTTTATGCATTTCTCTTTTCTGACATACCAAAGTGTTTAAAATATTTTATTCGAGAACTTGATCTTTTTATAACACATTTAAATTTTCAACCATTAATTGGATTGATTTATCAATTTTTTTCGACGTTCCGGATACTATATGACTTTTTTTCATGTGTTACATAATCTAAAACTCATGTTATTGGATTAAACATACGTAGTTTGATATTTAATTTGATACTTCAGCTAATAAACCTATCAAATTTTAGACTTGCTAGTTTACTTCTCTTTCGGTAGTTTCTTTGCAGGTGGCCATTAGTATTCTTTTGAGTGCTTTATAGGGTTTGATTGAAAGACAAATATATATAAGAGTAATTTACATCAATCCGTGTATCATAGAGAATCCACCGCTCTCCAAGTGTATAATATTTAAAGCAAATGAACTTAAATTCGGAGGCGCGATACCCCTTAGGTGTGCTGAACTGATATTCGGCTCACGAAGATGGCACAATTTCTTCACCTAGAATGAATGAATAAATTAATGGACCGAACTCTATTATCTAATTAGCTACCCTATCTACAAAATTTATTAAATCTTGAACCAGTCAATAAACTCGAAAAATTATCGGTTTTTACATCCCCAAAAAAAAAATAATAACTGAAATTTTACTTGTTGTACTATTTTAGCTACTTCAACTCACAATTTTAAATTTGAGATGGAGAGAGTATTGAATCCAGAAAATAGAGATGAGATAGTTGTATTATTATTATTATTTTTTTACAAGCATTATTATTATTACCACACGAAACACAAGCTAATTTCTACTATATATAAGTCAACAATTTATTTATTTTTATTCGGATCAACGTACTTTCTTTCTTCCACCGATTTATTTACTTTCCCTTTCTCAATTGTTTTCACGAAAGACATTTCTTCCCGTATCCAACAAACATGAGTTGTAAAGCAGGTGAGAAATTAATACAATCACCATCTCAAAATGTACTACAGATGAATTCACCAATATTTTTTGGGGAGGTTTCATCCTTTAAAAACAACCCATTTTGGAGAAAGCTTGAAAAAGGAACAAGAATTAAAGTGATTGGATCATAGAGTACAATACTTTCCAACCCCAAAATGGTTCTCAATAACTACGAATTAGAAGACTCTGACGATCAACCGGTGAGTCCAACTGGCCAATACTTCAATAGCTCAGTGCTCTCTATTGCCGTCTTAGGAGTATTAGAGTCGGAAATCCCTATTCAAGAAGATGACTCCATAACTTTGAAATTGATTAGGGATGTCTTTCTCCCCATCAATTCTCGTTTCTCTTCTATCATGGTATGGTTTCCTCTCCTTTTGCGCCCCCTTTTTTTTTGGTGAAAAAGATGCATATATGTCTCTTAATTATTCTTTTGGGTGCCCTTAATCTTGGGCAATTGTAAGCGTATTAAAAGTACCCGTCACAATCGTGACCGTATTAGTAGTTAAGTTTCTTAATCTGTTTACATGAAAACTTTTTATCGTTACATTTAAAGAGAGGTAAAAGATTTTAGACTCACGATTTCTGAATAAGAAGATATAGTAAACATTATTGTCGCGTTACTGCTTAGTTGTGCTTAGTTAGTTAGAAATGTAAATTTTACGGAGACATGTTGTCAAAATTAAAGTCTACAATTAAAATTCCTCATGTTTGAATAGGTTGAAGATGAAAAAGGGGTGAAAAAGTGGAAGAAGGTAGAAGTGAAACCGAAAGACCACATCCATGTGCCAAATTTTCCAGAGGGGAAATCGGTAGAATTCTATGATGAATGCTTCAATGACTACTTGTCAAATTTGGCAATGGAGAAACTCCCACAAAACCAACCATTGTGGCAAATCCATATCATCAAATACCCAACTAAGAATGCGGCCGGAAACCTTGTGTTCAAGCTTCACCATGCCCTTGGTGATGGCTTCTCTCTTATGGGAGCTCTACTTTCTTGTTTGCAAAGAGCCGATGATCCTTCACTTCCCATTAATTTCCCGACATTTCGAGTGAATCCACGAGAAAATGAGGATGATATTGGGGTTTGTAAGAAGTTGCCTAAATTACTTTCTGGGATTGGAAATACTGTGTATGATTTTGTATGGGGTTTATTGAAGAGCACTATTCTTGAAGATGATCGGACGCCGATACGGTCTGGTAGTGAAGGAGTGGAATTTCTGCCAATCACCATAACCACATTCTCATTCTCTTTGGATCAGATCAAGCAAATTAAAGTCAAACTTGATGTGGTAAGACCTTTACTTGATCTTTTTATAAAATAACTAACTAGTAAACAAATTTCTAATGTATATATGATTACTATTTTTATATCTTCTTGAATCTTTTTTTTTTTTTTTGGCGTAAACGATTCGGGGTAGGTGCAATTTAATTTAACTAATTTATATGTTTTTTGGTAGATTTAACGCCGTTGACTTTCTATAAGTTACTAAGAAATTTAATTGAGTATACATTTATCAAAATAAATGCTGATATGGGTCAATGGAAAGAAAGCGTCTGAATTTCACACCAAAAAACAACGGCAGTTAAAGTGTTCCAACGAGGATTCGGGGCACTCTCGGTTGATTTTTGCGTAATTGAGTTGTGTCAGTAATACCCACTAATTTACTATTTGTAGAACCTCGGAAAATTTTTGACACTTCGTTCGTTTCGTGGTTACATGATTGTTAAGTTTATTTTACTGAAATACTATTTACTCCCTCAGTCCCAAAATTATTGTTCAGTTTTAAATTTCACTTTTAGTACTATTTGAACTAGAAATGAAAATCCAAATTGGATAATAATTATGGGACGGAGAGAGTATAATAGATTTAAAGTTGCCATGAAAGTGGCCTTAAATGAAAATTGCCAATTGGGTTAGGTGTGAGGATAGTGAATTTTCAGTTTTATATACCATTCAAGACATTTATAGGTCGATCTCGAGTTTTCAGTTTTCACCATCATCAGATGCTTGATATTTTTAGGTATTACTGTAAAATTTGTTAAAGATCTAGGCATTTTTGATGATTGGTCCGACCATAAGTTAAGGACTGAAAACGATAGGATCATTTCGGTATTTTATTTCATTTGTTTTGGTGAATATGCCAGAAAGGTATTTAAGTTAGGGGGTCCATTTTCAATTTAAATGGTTTGTTTGATTAAAAATAAAAGCATAGAAGCTGAATAAATTTACTTTTCCATATGGACAAGGTTTTTACATATGTATAGGATAAGTCACTTGAATAATCGAAATTCAAGTCAAGCAGCAATTTGGTCCTATTGCTTTTAATTCAATAGTTTAATTACCTGGTAATCGAAATTCAAAAAAAAAAAATTTAAAAAAATTGATACAATTCTTTGACTCGTGCTTTTTTTCATTGTTCCAAAAAACAAACTATATTTCGGATGATCAATTTTCTGTCTTTCTTCTGATTGAAATTCTACATAATATTACTATTAGTCTTTATAGCCTTGAGAGGAAGCATTTACTTACATTTATAGTAATGGATCAGATCTCAACTGCTCCAAGTTATACTGCATATGGCCGTACACCGATCAACATTAAGGCTTGTGTTTCCCTTTTTGCAGTTGTCTGTCACTTAACACCAACCCACAACTTTTTATGCTTCTTATATTTTTAATTAATTTGAAGAGTCAAAATCAAATTAATTCGTGTATTATTAGAAGGAAATTATATGTCGGATTTAACGAACAACCACAAGGAATTAATACAAATAGAACCAACTCTCTTGAATCTTGGTGACTTGGCCATATATATATATATATGATTTGTTCCCCGTGGACTAAACACATTGGATTTTAGAAGTGTAAAACCAATGGTAGAGAGACACCAGTTTTTGGCGGTTTTATATATTATGATTGACAAGTCGTTGTTTGTGATCAGACACATGAATAGAGTATTTGAAAAACGAATAATCTATCAGTCACGTTATAAAAAATTGTCACTTTAAAATAAGTGTTAGTAATTTACTTTTATTATTTTTTTAACCCATGAAACAGTCCATAAATGATGTTATATGTGGAGTAATATTCTTGGGGACAAGAATATACATGGAGGCAATGAATGAAGAGAAAAGAAAAGAAATTTCTACGGCGTTGGTGTTACTAAATACTAGAAATATTGGAGGCTACAAATCTGTGAAGGAAATGGTGGAACCAAACACTGAATCGTCATGGGGAAACCAGTTTGGATTTTTGCATGTTTCGGTACCCAAATTGACAAAATCGGACTCTTCAAAACCACTCAATTTCGTGTTCAAAGCAAAAGAAGTTATCAAGAAGAAGAGGGAATCTGCAGCTGTTTACTTAACTGGCCAATTGCTCGAGACATTGAGGAAATACTTTGGACCTGAGGTATGTATGTATTAGTTTCGGATACAAACTACTTAATTACGCTTGTTTCCAATTATTTACGTTTAGGTTTTCTTTTAAAATGGTATGAGGCGAATTTTGGTGGAAATATACAATGTCTCAGATTTTTTTTTTTTTATAAAAAAAATATACATATGATTGTCTGGACCTTGTTCCTTGACAAAATATTACTTTTCTGGTATCTTTTTCCACAATAGGTTTTAACTAATGACTTGTACCTTACATAAGATCCGAATTTAATAGAAGTATATGATTCACGTGTAGCAATCGTGTGTCTTTATTAAAACTATATAAATTTTTCATAATCATAATTTATGCATTTTATGTCATGGCTTAGTAGCTTAAATCAACATATTAGATAATTTCATATACCCCATACCAGTTATTATTATCTTATTTCAAAATATGTCTTCTAAAGTGCTATACACATAATAAGTTCATAATCTGTTTTCACTACACATATTATCGTTCTTTAAAGTACTATAAACATACATAGTAAGTAGGGCAGATGATTTGATTTCAACGATATACACAATGTCACCCTTTTTTCACAAGTACTGTCAGTGTTGTGACAGCATTTTAAATAGTGTATCTCATTATTTCCAAAAAAAAATAAAGGGGGAAAAAATAGTTTATCTCAAGTTAATTTTCTACAGGGAACAGCTAAGTATGTCCACAGCACGCTAAGGAACTCCAGTATGACAGTTTCCAATCTTTTCGGGCCAGTGGACCAATTGGCTTTGGCTAATCACCCAGCTAAAGGTCTCTATTTTATGGTTGTTGGAGTTCCGCAGGTACATTTATATACTACTTTGTCACAAACATTAAGTCCCGTCTAAGTATGAATTAATTCAGACTGTAAAATTAATTACGAAAATTTCATTACATTTTCCTACGGGATTCGATTGCAGAGTCTAACAATAACAATGGTGAGCTACATGAAAACGTTAAGGCTGGCAATAGGAGTTGAGAAGGGATTCATCGACGAAAACAAGTTCAAATTATGCATTCTGGAAGCCTACAACATAATGTTCAAAGCTGCCGTTGACGATTCCCAGCCCGATGATCAGTGTCCCACACCCACAAACTGATATTATACCGCCAGCTGCTGGTAATTACTCCACCTATGCAACCTAAATCAATTGTCCCGTTTGAATTTTAATTTTTAGTATAACTCATACTAAAAGTGAAAATTCAAAATGCACGATTATTTTGAGACAGAAGGATATGACCTTCAATCCTTGGCAGAACTGCGCTTCTGAAGACTTAAAATGGTCAAACTCAGTACAGATGATAAGGGCCTGTGTATTCTTTTCATGAGTGATATATATACATGATGATGCTATTTAAGGAATTCATGTACAATAGTATAAACGTGTCGAAAAAAATGGTGCGGTACAAATCAAAACTCAAACTCATCACATTCTTTGACGAATACTTTTTTCTCAAAGACAGCATTCTTGTTCTTAAAATTATTTTTAGATATTTTTACAGCACAACTGTATACATAACCAAACAAAAAAAGGGGTAATGGAGAGTTTTCGTTTATGCCGATCTTTTTCTTCTTTTTTTTTTTTTTTCCTTTAGCTTTTGCTATGGGTCTTGCTGTTATGTATTCTCTTTTTACATGTTTTGAACTCAACAAAGTAAAATTATTAATTAATAGTGGAATATTCGGAGAATTCTCTTTGTACTTAACAAAAAAAAAACAATGATCGAATTGAAGCTATTGGAATTATTGATCACTTAAGTCAATCAATTTGTAGTTTTCTTCAGCAAAAGGGGTCCCCCGATGTGCATATCACACCTTTGGCCTAAAACAAAGACAAAAAGGTGCCATTGTCTTCTCGAATATATATTGAGAAAATCCATTAAAATAATGTTTCTAGAAATGTTCTCTATGGAAGTTTGATTTGAGGTCCCTACTCTTTGGGGTTCGCATCCTTAATTGATCGAATCCAGTCATATTTTATCATTTATTTTTCATATGATATATATGGTCCACATGAATCTCTATAAAGCCAGATTACGATTTTAATCGAGTGGTAAGTGTTTGATTTGGTTGATTTGAGGACATAATTTGGTTTTAATGAGAAAACGGTTCATTCCGTTCTCAATAAAAATATTGGTTACTATTTATTTTAATTTAAAATATTTAACTTTTCTAGAACAAAGATAATATATGGATAGAAATGTTGAGTGGATTGCCTGAAAATAAAAAAATTGGTTGGCTAAACATACTTTAATGTTACCAAAAGATGATTCAAGATCATCCGCTCGGCAAAATGTGAAGGGGAAATTGATGAATCTTGTCATTCATAAATCTTATAAGATTCACATCATTTTATCAAAGAAGAATAGATAACAGGAAGTATTTCTTTAGAGTATTTCTTGATCAGAGGTGAAAGGTCTCCTTTCTCTCTTCTTCTGCTGACAAGTGTACAAAATTGTGGGAATTCTATATGTATATCAATGTCTTAGAATTACATAATTTATCATTCCTTAGAATGGGATATAATAGTTTAGGTATTTCTTGACCAATATACAGGTATCTTTTAAGAAAAAAAGAAAGAAGACACATTCTTTAAAAATCATAAATTATAAAATAAATAAAGGTTTAAGTATACCATGTCCAATGTTATACTAAGGAGTGATATATTTTTCCTAAGAAATTTATGTGACTTGAATCTGAACTAATTTAAAACTGAATTTGAGATTTCCAATGTGTAATATGTCAAAATACACACACACACATATAAACAGCTAGTGAGGGTAAGAAATGATAGAAATGTAGGAGGTAACTAGCTATATTTGCTAGTGATGTGCATGACGATAGAAAATAGCTATGCATATTCAGCCTTGTTAAGATCTAATTTATGTCGGTTGTAAGGTTTGGGTGGAATGATAAGAAATGAGGATTATAATCAGGAATTTGAGAGGCCAAATCTTGCTTGGGGTAATCTCAACAAATCTTCTTAATCGCATTCAACACGAAATGATGCAAACCTGAAAGGCCGCAGCATTAGGATGTTGTCTTAAGTTAATTAGCTTCCCATGTATGAATGCATTGAGTATCTAAAGCTATTGCTAGGAGCACTAACCAAGTAATTAGTATGCATGGCAGGACTTTACAAAAGCTGGATTTAACTACAAACATTGTGATCTTCAATCAGATAGGTTTCCTACGTACTTTCTCAACAACACTCTAATATCCGTCTCAAAATGATAGTTATCTTAGGCATTCCAGGCACAGGGAATATATAACTAGCTAGATCGGTAGATTGAAAAACACATACTCTAGAGGAGGGAGGGCGCATTGAAATTGATAAGCATATGCAAGCATTAACCTAAGAACCCTCAAACAACCAAATCAAAAATGGAGAGTTTTTTGGAAATTGGCAGACCGGATTCCCGTTTCTTGTTTAATGATTAATGAGTTCATACTTTGCTGCACAGCTTTTAACAACGTGCAGCATGAAATTAAGTTGATTGAAATATTGTGATCAAAATGATCAGCTGCCATTTCAAAGCCATCAAAAATTTGAAGAAAGATAGCTAAAACTTTATAATTAAGTATGATGACAAAGAATGGCTAAATAACATGAACCCATACACATTATGTCGAACTGGCTCTAACAAGAAACACCACAGATATACTCGCAGCCCAACAGTTGTTCATTGTGCCAAAATCTTGTTACATTTTTTTCCCCCTGAAAGGCTGAAGCCAAAAAGGCTCTTCAATATTGGTCCTGACTCAATGTACAAGTTCCAATTATTGAAATGGAAGAACAACTGCCAGGTTTTCTCGTACTCAATTTTTATTTAAATTAATTTTTTTTATTTTTTTTTTACATTTGTTGCAAAAAGTAGAAATCTTCGGAGGGAATTGTTTGAAGAAGAAGTTGAAGATTCATGTCGGGTTCAATTTCAAAATCCCACAAGTCCAGATCACTTGATTCAACTGATTCACCTTTCAAATAGCCGTAGATCAGTTCCTTCAATCTATTGGAAATTGCTGAACTATCACCCCTCGATGTTGTTGGTTTTCCACCTTGCTACAAATAATTCATATACAAATTAATAACATCTCTTCTGATGTATGTTTGAGAATGTAAACCTAATTAAACAAAAATGAATATGAGATCAGTAATATTATTAGAAGGTACCTTTTCATAACTGATTTGGATCACGGAATTGCCATTGATGGAGAAATTCGCGTGAACGATTTCGAAACCTTGGTTGGAAAGGAGACGAATGATCCCATAAAACGAAGCTTGATCTTCCAATCCAGTGATGCAAACCACATCCATGTTTGGTCCCATTTCATGAATTTCCACATTAGTCAACTTTGATGTGTTATTAAGGGTTTCATTTTTTGAGGCTGCTGATGATGATGAGTTTGGTTTCATCTTCCCTTGTAACTTGAGGAGCTTCTCTTTCTCCTCATGATACATCTCTAGCTTCTTTTGTAAACTTTCAATGTACATCCTGGCTTCATCTATTTGATCTGGCACTGCAGGCAAAACTTCCTGTAAATAATTTCAAACAATATTAATTCACAATTGAATTTTCCCACATAAAAGTAGTTTCCAAATTGAATTTAGCCCACTGAATTGAGCCTTCTCCTGAGCCCTATTTAGTGGTTTAAAGGCAGAAAAAAAAAAAGAAAAAAGAAAAATGACAAACCTTGGAGCCATAACTAGGAAGAAGGGAATAAAGCTTAGAGTAAAGACTCTTCATATGATTTCTCCTGTTTTTCTCTATAATTCTCCTCTCCATTTTCGGAGTTGAAGTTGAAGGAGCACGAGGGCTTTCCATTTCTCTCTTCAATTAGAACAAATTAATCAAGCAAGCATATCAAAACCCTTATTCTATTTATTTTTCCTTAAAAAAAAAAAAAATTGGGGAGGAAGACAAAATTATAACCTAGGAAAAGGAAATGAAGAGTTATGTGGAAGCAATGAAGATGCCAAATCGGTGGGCTTTTATAGTCACATTTTAAATATTTCCTTATTCTGAGTGGAAAACGTCACCATCAAATGTAGCAAAAATTAACCTTAATTGTTTCAAAAGCTAAAGAGAGAAAGGATATATATGAATATCACCAGGGGAAGAAGACTTCTTGACGGACAAAAAGAAAAGAAAAAAGAAAGAATCATACAAAGGAATGGGATTTATCTGTTCTTCTTCTGGCTTCTTGGAGGGTGGGGCGTCACTCGTCAGCTAATACGACGTCACCGGTCATTCATCAGCCGGCTTTTTGGAAAAAAAACATTATGAGTTCACTCCACTTTTTATTTTGTGACAGAGCATCATAATGTGCAATATGTGTGTATTGAAGGGTTGACTATTGAAGCACGTGTGTTCATTTCACTTTCCTGGCACCACATCTATTTATATTGTTCCTCCCACGAAGTTTAATCGATCGCGAGTTTTTGTTGTATTCCCTCGTGTCCTTAATTTGTACTAGGTTTCACTTAGTACGTATTTTTAATTGATGAGAAAGTCTTAAAAATATATTTTCAAATTTCTTGTGTTTTTTTGATTGTCATAAAAAAAAAATTTTAAACTTTTTTTGTCAATTAAGAATGGGTACAAGGTAAAACTAGAACAAATCAAAATGTCTTATATCAAGGACCGGAGGAAGTATTAGTATTACCCAAAAAAAAATGTTTCCACCTTACTATGCATGTCACCCAATGTTCACCTTTAATCATTTATCTTTCACCATGATATATAAGTTATTACAATGAACGTAGATTTATTCAGAATTCTCATCGTTATCAAAACAATAATAATACAAAATATATTTTAGAAATATAAAAATATTGATTTTATATTTACAGCAATGACTGAAACTCTTAAAAGATTGTATGAAGTAGTGAATAATGAACCAGAGAAAAAAATCACATAAATTAACGCACTCTTATAAACGATGACACAATGAGGGATCCAAACATATTCCTCATTTTTTTTTAAAATATATTATTCAATATTCCATTTTATTCTGATTCTTCACTGATTTTACCATTTTTTTTTTGTACCTATTAATAAGACGAAAATCAGTAAAATTGAAAAGAAAAATTCTTAGCGAGCCAAAATATTCTACTGATGAATGACTTCAAACAAAAGTAGCATTATTTCATCCTTTTTTTCCTGGGAAAAGTATCATTATTTCATTTATTCCAGAGAGATGTTGAATCCGTAATCTATTTTAAAACGTGCGTCAATGGGTCAATCCTTTTTTTTCAAATTTCTATTGGAAGAAGTACAAATATATGGCAGTTGTTAAGCTAAACAAAATTCGTTTACCAAATTTTGCCCTTTGTTCGTAAGTAACTTGATTTTTCTACTGGAGTAGGGGACTTCCCTTTATTTTAAGTTTTGGTCAAAACCAGGCAAAACCATGCATAGTTGGAGATATATATAACTGTTACTGCTCAACTCCTCATATTCATACAATAAATTGAAACGTTATTTGCTAGATTCTATTCAATAACGATTTCATTTTGCATATTTTTAGGTAACATCAGTTTCTCTTTTTTTTCATTTTTAATACTATTCTCTCAAAACTAACTATATTAACTAACGATTATAATGATAGTCTTGGAGTGTTAACTACTAAGTGAATCTGTGAATTCCTAAAACGGATGTTAATAAAAGTGAAATGAAAGTGTAACCCGAAAAAAATTACAATATCAAGTTGGTGATATACATTAGACAATATACAAACTACTTTTTCTCCACGGTTGGCAAAGGTTGTAGTCTTATAAGGTCCTCTTGCCCTGCGAAGCCTCGTCAATTTCAATACATGTTCCTTAGAAATTAATCATTTAGTTAGTTGCATTACTACCCTCTGTTTATCTCAACATATCTTTAATTTATATCCTCGTACAATTAAATCTTTTGACTTTTTTTGTCCTTAAACAAAATTCTTTTTAATTTCGTGTTATTGACAGATCAAAAAATAATAAAATGGCGCAATAAAATTTGGACACGTCTTAATTTTAGTAAAATTATTTAAAATAAAAACATTATGTTTCACTGCATCTTGAATCGTATTTAAATAATTTCTCTGTATTCAAAAATAGAGATAAGTTAATTACTTACATGAACTGAAAATATTTTAGGTAGGTCGTTTGTTGCACAATCTTCAGTAAATTGTCATACATAAGTGACCGACCATATTTGCATGGGAATTCATGACCTTTATTATGTCTCCAGTCATATTTAGTCTACTGAAAAAAACAAGAAAATGCTCAGCGCGTCAACAAAGCCTGATTTACACAATAAATGTACATTATATAGAAAAAGGAAAACTGAAATTATATTCGTGTACATATTTGTCTTGATTTTGATACATATAATGTCAATTCTGTGTTTATGACGCGTATATATTAATTACTTTTCTCATTAATTAATTAACTAGACAAAAGAAGACTATCACGCAGTTTCCGATTTCTGATATAGCGATGGAATAAGCGGAGGAACTGCACTGACTATTTGCAAACTCACAAGTACCTAAGTTGATTTGCCCCAACAAAGTTGATCCTAAACATTGTTTTTCGCGGGGAGTCAAACTAAATATCTTTATTTAAAATCAAGGGTGTTTTAATTTCAAGAATTACCATCTAACTAATTTGCATTCTTTTCATATTTAAAATCAAGATTTCATATTATTCCCCCCCTCTAAAAAGAAAAAAAAAATTTGGCATTCAATTTTCAAATTTATAATAAAAAAAATATAAATTTGAAAACTCAATATTAATTTTGTTGGGGGACAGCGAGAGTATGTGTCTTTGAAAGCAACCTCTTGCTACAAAATCACGTGATTCTCCGGATTAAACTTAGGCAAGTAAAGCGAACATTTGAGCTATGTTTGTTTGGTTTTTTGAATTATTTTTTTAGATTATTTTAATAATAACTGTCCCATTCCAGCATATTTTTTTATATTTTTAATACAGTTTTTTACATTCCCAATACAAAAAACACCTAAAAACACATACTAAAAAAGAAACAAACATAAAATTTCGTTTGTTAGGTTTTTTTGATGTTGTTTTCAAAATATTTAAAAATAACTGTCTCATCCCAGCATACCTTTTTATATTTTCAATACACCTTTTTACATTCTCAATATAAAAAATACCTAAAAACACACACTGAAAAAATGAAACAAACATATCAAGTCTCTGACGACTTTTTTTAAAGTTTTTTTTTTTAAAAAAAAATCATAAATAACTCTCTGACGACTTTTCCTCAAGTCTCTAGTCTTCGTTATTCATTTATACCATATTCAGTCAGGTTCTAGTTTTACACGTACAATAAGAATTGAACAAAAGGGTTCAAATCAATCCAGAACATGGCTCGTGTCTATTCCAACTCCAAGTTAGAATTTCTGTTTTTTGTTTATGTTTTTTTTGTTCCTTTCGTAATTTGCTTGTCGTAATTAAAGTGGTCTATTAATGTAAAACGCACAATTGATTGGGGGAATGTTAATAAGTCATGTGTTTCATCGAAATTTGTCTTCCAAATTAAAGGCGTGTTGATATCACACATTCACCACTAATTAATTGATGCGGGTCTCCACTCTCCCTTGATTTGATTTCTTTTCTTTCCTTTTCTTTTCCCTTTTTCACTATCTCTTTCGCTTTTTCTTTTCCTTTTTTGCTTACCTCTTTTCCAACTTTTTTTTATTTTTGTGCCTTCTCTCCCCCACCATTTATGTCGTTCTTGAGGATATTATTACCACATTTGAAGCCCCTAATTTTGATTATTTAATTATGATACTTTCTTTTGTGTATGACATAGATAAATAGTGCTACTATATGTAGGGAACTAATAGTAATTCAATTTGTTAATTTTATTTTTTTGGATCAAATAGATTTTTCTTTTTGATGGATCATTTTATTTTCTCTTCTTCTTTTGTTTTTCTTGAGGAATTACTGAAAGTTGTTGTTTGAAACCAAACGATTTATATAATTAGAACGTTCATTCCATACTTCTTTTTTTTCTATATATATACACACACACAACATATTGTGTGTCAAAAATTTTATGTTTCAATTAATTTAGATTTAGATCGGCTAAGTTCCTTTTGGAAAAACTAAATTCTCCTAATTATTTCGTATATTTTAATGTACCTCAAATGATATATCAAATTGAGTAAAAAAAAAGTACACAATTACAATTTCCGACCGAGAAAAATCATTGGCAAAAGAGATGCTGTTATTCATACTTCAAAATAATGATAAAACTTATACAGATGAGGTAACATGAAACTTAAGTTCAGGTAACATGAAACTTAAGCTCTCGGTAAATAAAGAGAGATGCAGGCCTTATTGGTAAGATAAGAGCATCGATATTATGCATATATATATATATATAACACACATACATATATATATATATATATATATTTTTTTGGTTTAAATTAATTTGTGTAATAGTTCTAATAATTACTCCCTTCGGTCCTTAATATAAGGCATTTTGATTTGTCCAAGGTTTAACCTAGTACACATTTTTAATTGACAAAAAAACCTTAAAAATATTTCATAACAATCAAGAGAACACAACAAATATGAAAATATATTTTTTAAAATTTTTTTTGTCAATTAAAAATGTGTACTAGGTGAAACTTAGGAAAAGTCAAAATGGCTTATAATAAGGACCGGAGGGAGTACATTACTTCTGCATATGAGAAATTGAGCTTTATTTACATACAAAATGTACTCCCGTTGTTTAAAAAAATAATTTTTTTTTTTTTGGTAAAATGTAAATATGTATTGATAATCAAGAGAGTTCATATTTACACCAAAAGTGAACCAGCCTGCTATCTACTTTCTATCAAAACAATATCAAACTATACAATGAAACTAAGAATGTAAAGCTTTCAAAAAGTTTTCATCCTGACTAGATTTTATATTGCCCAAACAGTAATCAATCCTCCATAGAACCTCTTGTTTAATCTGTTTAAAGATAGCCTCCATAGTTCTCATCTTCTCTGTGAACACCCTTTGGTTTCTTTCTTCCCAAATATGGTAAACAGTCGCCGCCATTGTAGCAAACAAGACTCTCCTTCTCAGTTTTCTGTTTTTGCACCATAGCATAACAGAATTCCTCCAAGCCATCTGATCACATGGAGGGTTTTGGCAATTTCAGCCAACGGCCAACCTCCACAAGCAACACAACAGAAGTTTTACATTCGAAAAACAGATGGGATGAAGATTCCAACTGATTCTGACAGAATATACAGTCTAACCCATCCTTCAATATATTCATTTTAAACAATCTTTCCCTAGTTAGTAGTTTGTTATGCCAGAAAAGCCACACTATGAAAGAATGTTTTGGCACATTACATTTTTCCCAAATGAAATCAGCAGCATGTAACTCCTCTATATTACCAATAAGCCAATGATAACCAGAAGAGAGAGTATATTTACCAGATTCAGAGTGTTTTCATTTTCCATCTTCAAATTCCAGTTTAACTTTGTCTTTCATTTGCAGTATCTGCCTCCATTGCCTACATGAACTCTGTTTGGGTTGGACCTGCCAGGAATCACGCCCCTTTATGTAATGCTCATGAATCCACTTTATCCATAAATTATCTTCTTTTGTAGCAATCCACCACACTTGTTTTATAATGGTTGCTTCATTCCATATTTGCACATCTCTGATACTCAGCCCACCTTCTTTCTTCCTTCTGCAAACCTGCTCCCAACTCACCAACGCTACACTTCGACCATTTTCTTTTATACCCCATAGAAAGCTTCTACATTTTTGTTAATCTGCTGAGTGACATTATGAGGTAACAGAAACACAGAAGCCCAGAAATTACTAATAGACAGCAGAACCGAATTGACTAACTGCAATCTACCAGTATAACTGAGATGCTTGGTGCTCCAACATCTTATTTTTGCAATGATCTTCTGCACCAGTACATCACAATCAGATTGAGTCCACTTCTTGGGTGATAACGGCACTCCAAGATACTTCACAGGGAATTTTCCCGTTTGGAATCCTGTAATGCTATTGAGTTGGGTCTGGATGTCTTCAGATACACCACCAAAGAAGATTTGGGACTTCGTTGTATTAGCTATCAATCCTGTTATTGCTACAAATCTGTTCAACACCTCCACTATCTTGGAAACAGTATATACATCTGCTTTGCAGAAGATCATTAAATCATCTGCAAAGCAAATGTTGGTTAACTTCAGTCCCTTGCACTGAGGGTGGAATTTGAACTTCTTATCCTCCGCCGCTTCAGCCAACAACCTAGTAAGATATTCCATAACGAGCACAATCAATAGAGGAGACATAGGGTCTCCCTGTCTCAGCCCCTGTTTTCCCCGAAAAAAACCACAGTTTTTACCGTTTAAGACGATTGTATACATAGGAGTTCTAATACATTCTAGCACTTTTTGACTAAAGGATCTAGGAAATCTATACCCCTCTAGCATTTCTTCTATGAACCCCAATTCAACAGAATCATACGCTTTACGTAAATCTATTTTCAACATACAACGACCAACTAATATTCCTTCTACCATACAATCTAATCAAGTCCTGAGTAAGTAATATGTTATGCAATATTAACCTATTACTTACAAAGGCACTTTGATTTTTTTCAACAAGATCATTCAGTACACCTTTCAACCTATTACAAATAATTTTCAAAATACTTTTATAAACAACATTGCAACAGGCAATAGGACGATATTCAGCAGCATTTTGAGGGTTATCATGTTTAGGTATAAGCGCTAGAATGGTAGAATTTACCTATTTCAACAATTGGCCATATTCAAAGAACTCCAACACTGCCTTGGTAACATCCTCTTTGATCACGTTCCATGCTCCTTTGTACAATCCACTGCCATATCCGTACAAGCCTGGACTCTTGCTGCTATTGATGCTCCAGTGGCATTTTTTACTTCCAGTTTGGATACTTGCTTCACCAGCTGGACTTGTTGTTGCCAATTCAGGACATGACCGCGTTGAAAAATCTCTAGCTGTGATACCTCTCTGCTACTGTTTTGCCCAAGTTGGTGCTGAAAACAACCAATGAAATGATCTCTGACTAAGTTCCAGTCAGTGATCACAGCACCATTTGCCCCTACTATCGAATTGATCCTGTTCTTCATGGTTCTGATTCTGAGCTTTGCATGGAAATAAGAGCTATTCGAATCTCCTTGCTTCCCCCATAGCTCCTTTGCTTTCTGTTGGAGGAAACTTTCATATGCCTTGCTACTCTGAATATATTCTCTGTAGACAACAAGTTCATATTCCATCAAATCTTCATCATCCAACTTTCCCTGAATCTGCTCTTGAATGGTCTCCAGCTCTCTTCTAAGCAACTCCACCTTCTGTGGTATGTCAGCAAACTGGCCCTTATTTAATTTTTTAAAAACCGGTTTTAGTCTTTTCAGTTTCCTGACTAATGGAAACATACATTTACCCTCCACTGGTTCCCTCCATGATTCTTCTACTAGCTTTAGGAAGTCCTTCGATTGATTCCACACGTTATAGTATTTGAACGGTTTATGTCTTTTGACAATTGCATCCGTCAGTCTCAGTACTAGTGGGCAGTGGTCTGAGACACCTTCTACCAGTGCTGTAACATATGAATGTGGGAATTCTATGATCCACTGTCCATTGACCAATGCTCTATCAATCTTAGAATATATTCTTCTTCCTCCAACCTGTTTATTGGACCATGTGAACCAAAGACCTTGCTGCTTTAGGTCTTGAAGCTCACAAAGATCCACACACCTTCTCATTCCCTGCATCTCAGTAAGTGACACAGGGTTGCCACCTACTCTTTCATTACTGTTCATCACATTATTAAAGTCCCCTATAGCTATCCAACAGCCCCTTATCCCATTAGATAACCCGATCATATCTTCCCATAGCTAGTTTCTATCTTCTTGCTTGTTAGAAGCTTAAATGGCAGTAAGAAGGAACTTCACTCCTGTACTCTTTAACTCAACCCCACAATGCATTAATTGCCTCTCACTTTGCATTAGATGGACTTTTACATAACCAGGATTCCAAATCAGTAATATACGTCCTTTCTCTGTAATCCCACCATTACTACACCATTCATAGCCACCCCATAACCTTCCCGTCATCTCTACAATCTTACTATACTCTAATTTTACTTCTACTAAACAAAGCATAACAGTACTTATTAACGAACATAGCCTCTTTACCTCTTTTTGCTTAACAGGGCTGTTAAGACACCGTATATTCCAGTGCAGTATTCTTGTCATTGGAGTATACCGGGGTCCAAAGGATTCCCTCTCCTAGCTGTTGCATTCTGTACTTCCTTTGCTGTTTCTGTAGTCACTATAAGGCCAGATTCCACTTCCTCACCTGTCTCATCATCCTTTGCCATAGCCAGTATTGAAAAGCTATTACCATTTCCACTTCTTTGAACATTGGTATCTTCTTTCAGGTTGATCAAGGAACTCTCTACTTCTGCTCTCTTCACTATGGATCATTCTGTTTTTATTCTACTTCATTGCCCTTCTTAGTAATAATTCTCCACTCAGATACTTCTTTGCCCTTACTTTGATGTCCAGTGTCCACTTTTATAACTTCCTTTGGCTTCTCCTTTTTCCTACAGTCTTCTTCCCCATGCCTAAAATAACAACAACTCTTACATTGTGTAGGACGCCATTCGTAATAGACGTCTTGTTCCATTAGGTTCCCTTCTTCATCTACAAAATGTGCAACCAGAGGAGTTTTGTCCCTAATCTCAACATCAATTAAGGTTCTAGCAAACGCCATCCCATCCCTAGTTGCAGTAAGAGCTCAGTAGCAATTGGTCTACCCAAAGTACTTGCAATGCGACTAAGTGTAGCCAGATTCCAGAATTTAAGCTCTAATCCCGGAAATTGGACCCAAACTGGCACATGTTTAACTTCTTTATAGCTAGAGCCTCGTTCTACTTTCCATGGTTTAATAATCACAGGATTTGACCCTAAACATTGAACAGGATCAGCTAGTGCTTCATCTCTACTATCCACAGTTTTGAACCGAATGACGTAAAGACCAGCTGGAAATAAAATTACTCTATCAATATCCAAATGCTTCGAAATACGCGTATAAAATGATTCCATTACCTTGAAAGGCGGATTAGCCCCAAGAACAAAGCTTATGATTGAGGGTTGCCAATACTCCATTTCACTCTGGACGTCCTGCTTCTGTACCATAGCAATTTGAATCCCGTTCTTCTCTTCTGGCTCGACATAATCCAGTGAAACTCCTACTTTCTGAATTTCTTCACATCAAACGATTCCCAACGGGATTTCTCCGTAGCATCACCTACTACCGCTTCAGCAGCCAAACAACCTTCCTTGAGGGGTTTATGCTTAACAAATCGCTAAGGGTTTTCGCTTGATGCTTCAATTCATCTTCTTGAATCCCAGATTCCGAAACCACTATCTTCGCTGAAATCCTAGATGAGCTTTCCCCAATCTGTAAATCTCTTTTTTCCTCTGAATTTTTACAAAGATTCATCGGAAAGTTGCTGTTGCTTTCAATTTTCTTCACGATTTGTGTATCTTTGATCACCCTCTTACCCTTCGTTCTTCATTTCGCCATGGCAGGCGCATGTTAGTATTGAGTACTAAACATGCGCCGAGAGAAGATGCGAAAAGAAAGTTGTATTTTTTACTTTTTAATTTTTCTTTTTTAAAAAAAATACTTCCTCTGTCCCAAAATTATTATTCAATTTAATATTTCACTTTTAATATAATTTGAACTAAAAATGAAAACTCAAACTGGACAATAACTATGAAACAGAGAGAGTAATTAATATCATGATATTTGAATTTCACAAAAAACATATAAATCGCAAATTATAATGTGAATTTTTTCAGTAACAGAGAGAATATTAATAAATTGTCTACACTTGAGGCATTTAAATGGTGTACTAACTTCTGCTTTCGAAAGCTCATCGGTCCAATCTGTTCATTCAAGTCAAACGTCTTCATGGTCTTTTTTTGATTATCATGATGTCATCTAATGTTTAGAAACCAAACAAATTTGAACAAAATCGAAGACAAATATATTTGGACTAAGAATAACGCGGGAATATACACGATTCAAAGTGGACTCTTTCTTGTTTACATGCACTTTTTGGGTCAAGTTCTTTCTTTTTTCTTTTGTTTTTGGAATTTAGCAACCTTAAATGAGATTTCGATTTTTGAAAAAAGTTCAATCCGAACACCACCCAAACGGGATCCAATGTAACCCAGGTTATATAAGGTTAAACGATTAATAATTAGAGTTTTTTTTTTTAATGTAACAATGAGAGTTATGCCCATAAAAATAATTTCAACTCTTTAGTAAAATTAAAATCATTCTTTTTTAACCAACAAGCATTTAGTTCAGGTATAGAAAATGTATTAGATAAGTTTAATTATGATTTCCCAGTGAAATAATTATTTTGAAAATGTTATTTTTTTCTCGAGGTAAATATATCCATCTTGAATACAGCATCAAATTGAAATTCGTTAGAACGAATTAGTTGGGGGTGATAAATTTCAATACATGTAATATAATTACAACATTCTACTCACGAATATATGAGCGTTGTATGATCCGAAGTCCAATCTCTTTTAATATCATGCTATCGAATCAATAAATCATCCATGCATGCAATGTCTTGTTTATTGAATTAAAGTACGGCATAACAGCATAAATATGTTTTTTCTTTTCTTTTCTTTTTCAACGAAAAAGAGTGTACTCTTTCTATAATGTAAAGGGTTAATTTTGAAAGAATTATATTTCTGTATATGTTACCAGTTGTACATTGAGATATATATATATATACAAAGATACATAAAACCCTAGCCGACTATTCCGGAAACCCTAATTTAGTTTCCTTAATTACATACTCTATCATCCCCCCGCAATCGTAGCAGGATGAGGAATCATGCCTAGATTTGTTCTAAACAAATAGAATTTATCTTTAGCTAATGACTTGGTGAAGACATCTGCAAGTTGAGATTGTGTGGGGATATGACGAACAACAAGAAGACCGGCAGCAACTCGTTCACGAACAAAATGGATATCCAGCTCAATATGCCTTGTTCTGGCATGATTAACAAGATTGGCGGTAAGGTAGATAGCAGAAATATTATCACACAGAATAACTGAAGATCTGGGAAGCTTGATGTGAAGCTCAGATAACAGATTTTCTAACCAAACAACTTCAGATAAGGTAGTACCAACGGCGCGATACTCAGATTCGGCAGAAGATCGTGAAACAGTAGATTGCTTTTTGGAAGACCACAAGACCAATGATGAACCTAAAAAGACACAAAACCCAGTGGTAGAACGTCTAGTTGTCGGACACCCATCCCAATCAGCATCCGAATAAGCCACAAGACGATCAAGAGAACAAGCACAGATATGAATACTGACGATGCACGGATATGCGCCGCCGGTTTAACGGTAAAACTCCGGTTAGGGTTTCCTGCAAAACAGAGCCTCGGGGTCTCCCGAGGGTAGACACTCTGATGCTTAAGTCAGTAAACAGGATTGCTAGAAAGTTTAGGGAGGTAGTATGTTTGGCTTATAGATTGCGTACCTGAATTGTGGTATGAGCTACTCTTTATAGGTATGAGATTACCTGGACAATTCCGAATCCAACTAGGTTTTAGGGATTTACACCGCCCTAAGAGTTCCAGTTGGACTCTTCCTACGGTGGGTGGGCCGGTACAATCTCGGTAATGGATCTGGACTCGTCAAGTGCCCCTGCCAAGTGTTAGTGACGTAGAACAAAACAACGCTTGGCACAAAATAAGCATTACCTGAGACATACCCGAGAGTGGACAGACCGCCCTCGTTCAGCTAATTGTCGAGGCACATGCCTAACGAGCTTGGTGCTAACACATGACCCTCGATCTCAAAAGTGCGAGAGGAACCGGCGGGTCAAGTCGCGACCCGGGAAGACGACCCGCTTCCCAATCCCGCTCAAATTTTCAATTGTACATTATTAGTGGGCACGTTCCCCAAACGGCGGCCTCAACATCATTACTTCCTTGAAACCCGCAATAACTGTCAAATTGTGGTCCATAATTAGGGAAACGTGGGAGAATCAACTTTGCTTTTAAAAGAGAAAACTTCCACTGTCCCTAGACACTTAATCACTTTCTTTCTCTGCAAAAACACAAAATCCTCTCCTTTGCAAAAAGTACTCCAGCCTCCATTCCGTTCTGCTTTTCCAAATCACCCTTGAAAATTCCGGCCGGAATTTCCAAGATTTTACTTGCCCCGGCGACGGCGTTTCCAAGGGAGTTGCAATTTGAAGCTTCTAGACAACACTGGGGAGCTATAATTCGAAGGGCGAGTGGTCACGTCCCCCTTACATAGTAAGTTTCTGGATCTGAATCTCCGACTTGTTCCATTTCCTTTCCTGTTGTAGCCAAAGTAAATCTTTGCCAGAATTATGGTTAGGGATTCTGAAGGAAAAACTGTTCTAGACTTTCTTTCCACCATAGACTCGGTGGATAAGGAAGAAAACCTTAAATCCAAGTATGACTTTCCCTCCACCTTAGAGGCGAGAGCTCCGTTAGAGAACAAGAGGGCCAACTCTCCCCCAAGGGGAAGAATTACCGTGTATGATCGATTTATGCATCTAGGGCTTAGATTTCCCCTTTACCCCTTGTTTGAGGAGATTGTTCAGCATTATAGGACTCCTCTCGCTCGTTTTACCCCAAATTTAATTACATTTGTACTGGGGTTTGCGAGAGTGTGTCAATATGTAAAAGTAGTACCTCGATTGATATTGTGGAGGTACTTTTTCCAAGTAGTTGTGGCCTCGACTTCTTTCCAGGATTGGTATATAGTAAAGAGATACCTTAGAGCCGGCGTGAAGAAGATGGTCGAGGCGTATGGCGGTTTTCCAGAGTGGAAACCGGACTTTGTGTTTGTAAAGGCGCCTGCAAGTTATTGTCTGCCATGGAATCTCCGTGAGACAGAGGGCCTCGGGCCATAAAAGATGAATGGACCCAAGAGGACGAGGAGTGTGTCGAGGAGTTCTAGGCAGATGTAGAGAAGATTTTAAAATACTCGAAGGTCGTTAAGTGGAACGACGTCCAATACTATGCGCCCCCTGCATGCGCGAAGGAAGGTGATACAGTCATTATCGAGGGAGCAACCAGAATTCCCCTTGAAATCTCTGATGAAGAAGATCAAGGTACTACTCGTTTTCTTCTTTTTTTCTTTTTTTCAATGTTGTTAGATCCTTTTGTCATTGTAAATTCAGATGAGGATGTTACTGTTACTGCCGCCCCTCAGAAGAAGAAGAAGAAAAGGATTGTGAAAGTGGGTGATAGGGCAAAATCTAAGAAGGCCAAGACGGATGTGCCCCTGAAGGAAACTGCTCCACCGAGCGTCGAGACGGTGCCCGTTGCTACCGAGTCCATGCAGAAAACTGCGCCGAAGACAGGGCCAAGCAGAGTTCCGCCTGTGGTAGAGAAAGGAAAGGGCCCTCCCGAGGGGGAGGCCATAGTCTTGCCTCCCCAACTGTTCGAGGGAGGCCCATCTGTGGCAGTTCACACCTTCAGCAACCCGCCGTCACTCGAGTGTCCTATTCTCGAGGAATTCACCGCCCAACTAAATGAAGCTGACAGCTTTGCGGCTGGTAAGCAATTTTTTAGATTATATTGTAAATGTGTTGCTGAGGTCCATGTGTCTCTAATGTGTTATGTTGGTTCAGATGAGCGTAGTCTCGATGACCTACTTAGTGTAGCTTAGGAAACTTCGAGAAGACCTGGCTACAGCAAGGGCAGAAAGGGACGAGGCGTTGTTCGAGGTGGTTACCCTCGAGGAGAAGGTTCGCCAAGTTCAGGCCAAGGAAGCAGAGATTGTCGAGATGCAGGCCAAATATGATGAGCTCGACGATAAGATGAAGTCGTTTGCCAGCCTGCATATTTCCAAGGAGGTGCTTCACCAGTGGTGTACCGCCTTTATGTATAAGATGATGTCCACAGGCGGAATGGCTGCAGCCCTCGAGGAGGTGAACTTGGTTGCCACCAAGTGCGGTGCGCACCGAGTGGGCGTGGCAGGGTTAAGGAGGCTCGACCAGGATAGGCCAATTAAGGCCAAATGGTTCAAGCAACTCTTGATGAAGGATCCAAAGAAAACCATGCACGAGGCTATGGTGAAGGTCTTGACAAGGTTGAGCCTCGAGCAGCTTCCTCTATGGGGAGCTTTGACCGGTGCAATCTCCAAGATGAGTTCCCCTGCGGAGATTGCCTCGTTTCCGAGCGACGTTCCTGCAATCCTGGCCAAGGGTCCGAGTGAGGAAGACCCCATACCCGAGGTACCTGATGAGTACATGGGTATCAAGCTCGAGGATGCTGATGAGGAAACCGTGGAGGGTGTTGCTGACACTGGCCACTCTGGGGTTCAGAGAACTGTTGAGGACGCCTCTCAGGCACCTTCCAAGGACCCTTCCAATGATTCTTCCACTGATCCCCTCCCAGGCAGTGATGCTGTATGAATCC